ATACAACCAACTCTCTACAAAAGATTAAGATGAAGTGTATTCTTCTTTTTTGTTTTTGGTGTAAATCAGAATATGTAGAGGATCCTGATTCAATCCTAGATGTTTTGAGTTCCTTGTAAGAAGAACAAGGACTATATTTTGGCTTTTCCATATTGTAATTTGAATATACTGGATACTTTACCTTCTCAAAAAAAAAAGGAGAAGACATACATAGTTGGAACAAATAGCCGTTGTATCTAAAGAGGAAGCAAAATACAATTTGGATAAAATATGCAATGTATATTAAGAAGAAACAAGGAGAAGTGCAGTTGGAACAAATAAATCATATTATTTGATTATGTGACAATTAATAGTTGGAAAATACCCCACTTTGGAAGCCGATTTTTCGATTTTTCTTCCCCCCACGCGCCTAAAAGATCCAGAGCGGCCGAGGCTATTAAATTGCTAAGTTCAAGGGGGTAATTAGGACCAAAACTAGTTCAGGTGGACACGGAATAAAAAGTATCAAGTTCAAGGAGGTCTCGATATATTCTGCCAATTTATGAAGCATTTTTGCACTCCTCATCTTGCTTTGAAAAGTAGTGCCAAAGGTTATCCAATATGTGGCACTCATTTGAATAAGATCTGGTTTTTCTTTCAACCAGTCAAATAACTTACACTATTAGCACAAAAGACGGTGTCATAAGTATGTAAGTTTGTGGCTCAATTGTAATCTATGATGTAAAAAAGCGAATCTCTCTTTGCTCCGAAATATGAACGAAAAATAAGCTTGTTATACTAGTCAACTTCATCTCACTATTGTGAAATAATCTCCTAGTTCTTTCCTTGCAAATAATCCGAAGAGACATAATTGTGTTTTTCCTTCAAGCTGCCTTCCGTTTGCTCCAATCTTCTGTAACATCTAACTCACCATTTCTTGTGTTCACACCATAAACTCAAGACAAGGAGAAGGCCTGGGTCCATAACTTTATGTATAGCTGCAACGCAACTGGAGTTTTCTTTTTAACTAGCTTGCTGGAATACTTATTTTATGTTGATTGGAGTATGTTTTTCTTTCATATAACTTGCAGGTGAACTTCTTTGTTACTACTTACCTATCTTGCTTGTTGCTTGTCAGTAGGACTATTCGCTTTATTGCTCGTCACAAAAATCTTCAGGTTTATAAGATTTTTAAGAATAATACTAATGGCGTATCCTCGGTTATTCTTGACGTGTAGGAACAGCAGCACTATAGTTAAATGTTTTCTGAAATATAATCTACAGGAAGATTTTTTTCTGATAGCTGAGTTCCACTTCTTCGTGTCATCAGGTGTCCAGCTGGAGGGATTTCATGAAGGGCGGGAAGAAGGTAAGTTTGGCTTAGATTGCAATCAACACATGCTCCCCCACTTTAGTGTAATATGGTAAAGAATAGGGTGTGGGCGGCGAGCATTTTATAATTGAATATTCAACATGCTTTTTTGCAGGTTAAGAAAGGAGAGAGTCGGCCTCCAAAGCTTAAGACAGAAGATCCCAACAAATCTTATGTTCAAAGACCAGTTAAACGAGGTTAACACATGTACTTGATAGTTTTTTATTCCTTTCATAGTTGCGTGAATCTCATCCAAGCTTATGAACTGGCTTCTTGAGAGTAAGCTTCACGCTTGTATAAAGTTGTATGCTTTGAGAAACTAATTATTGAGCAGCAAATTACAATTAGCATTCAAGTGTGGACCTGTCCGGGAAGATGGCAGCTTTTGGTATTCTCTTCTGCACTGGTTACCTTAATGTGACATCCAGAGAGAGAGAGAGAGAGAATCAGATCTGATGTATTTTCAGTATTCTCTAGCTCCAATCACGCAATGGCTATGCGTATGCAAAATCTAAAACTAGTATTCATTTATTAGTGTTATGTGCATATACTGAAGAAGCCATCTCTATCATCCTGTTAATCTCTCGTCAGTACAACATGTTGAAGTTTGCAAGAATATATTGGAGGTAAATAAGACTTCAAATGGCCGTTGGTCAAGAAAAATTGGTGCTTGCTTGTGCATATGAAAGAAGTATGGGAAGAGAAAAATTGTTAAATCCAATCGAAATCTTGTTCGCTCTAAAAAGGTCGCCTACACACCTCAAGACGTCCACACCCAAATGAAAGGTAAATGTGTACTGAACCTTGTAAGTATTTAAATAACCCATTACAACACAATCTCCACAACTCAACAAGATACTGTTACTGACGATAGTTTGTCAAGCTGTAGAATGGAGAATAGTCTAACATCTTACCGATAAAAGTAAATTGTTTTCGAAGAAATCCAACCACGTAGTCAATGTCGAAAGCTCATTGCAATTCACTGCCTCTTTTGATGCATTGAGAGAATACTGAACATCTACAAGGCGCTGTATGCAATAAACGAGGAGTTTATGCTGTCAACTGAGTTTTTATTTTCATCAAGGGAAAACGAAAATAAACAGGATAAATAGTAGATGACTAGCTATTTTTTCGCATCTTTTTCTTGTTCACAGTGGAAGTAACATTTTACAAGGCAGCAATACAATTACACAAAGCAACCACCTCTATGATACATGAATTACGACAGCGATCTTCAGGATTATATACTCAGCAATGATATGTGGGGGACTCAGTCCTTTTCTATCGTAGAAAAAAATGATACACCCTAAACGAGGAAAAATTTATGTAGGAATACAATAAAAACCCAGCACTGCCCACTCAGAACTGGCTCTTAACAAGGAATAAAATACAATAAAAAACCCACCCCGGAACTGTCTTTGCATCATGATAACATCCTTCTACCTGCTTCTGGCTCAATGTACAAAGGGCAACTATTGGAAAGCCCGAACTGCTCTGCATCATGATGAATAGACCATGCGCCTGCAACCTCCAATATCCAAATCTGATCCTCTGAAAGCATCTTTTCTGTGGAAGAATCCCCAAGTTGCCTCAAGCCTTCAACTTTTCAAGAGGATAAGTATCTCCATGGAACTCTCTGAATGGTGTCGTGCTATGTACAAATCACTGGAAATCCTACATGTTAGCATGAGCCTGGAAGTATAGCAAAATAATCGAACTATATTCTAAATCCAAGCGAGAGAACCTCGATCGTTGGCAACTTGAGGACGTCCTCTAGTTGGTGTAGGTGGTCTGTTAGCATTTAGCTCCTATCCCAACAGTTGTAAGAGTGATTAGATACACATCAAAGCAAAGAATATGCGGGTCGAAGAAGATCTGGAAATAACAAACCTGCATCCAAGTGTCCTCTATATGCCGCTCAGGTGAAGTTTCAGGAGATGTTGCTGGTGGCAGCGGGTGAATAAGTTTTGGAACCACGACAAGATCTCTACCCAATACCAAGATAGCACCAGCGTTATTAGCAGTACCTGTAGAAAGGAAAAAAAAGAACTCAAATATTTTGTATAAAGATAAATCATACATATAAAGTAGAAAACCTCCAAACATCCAGAATTTGTAACATCATACCACAGTAATTAGTGGCTGAAAAAAGTGTAATTAAATGTCCCTGAGCAAATCGTTCAAATCCATCCATCACACATTCATGCGCCCGGACTATCAGTTGAAGATCATTGTTGTTGCAGAATTCCATCACACGATCAGGCTGCATATGCAAGCGCTTACATTAGTGCGACAGGAAATGCTAGAGAAACTACATCACACCAAACACCCCAGAGACAGGCAGTGATATCTCATATTCAAGCACCACATAAACTGAAGTACCAAAACTCCAGTTCAGAAAACAGACAAGTGACTTCAAGGACTTATGAGTTCAACTGTCTCGAATGAGCAGGGGCAGAGCTACCGGACCAGACGAAATTCCAGTAGAATTTTGGAGGTGTGTGGGTAGAGCAAGCTTGGAGTGGCTGACTGGGTTGTTTAATGTTATTTTCAGAACGAAGAGGATGCCGGAGGAGTGGAGGTGGAGTACGGTGGTTCCGTTGTACAAGAACAAAGGTGATATCCAGAGTTGTAACAGCTATGGGGTATTAAATTACTGAGTCATACCATGAAAGTTTGGGAAAGGGCGGTAGAAGTGAGGGTGAGGAGGACGGTATCTATTTCAGATAACCAGTTCAGGTTCATGCCAGGGCGTTCTACCACGGAAGCTATCCACCTTATTCGGAGGATGGTGGAACAATTCAGGAAAAGGAAGAAGGATTTGCACATGGCGTTTATTGATCTGGAGAAAGCCTATGACAAGGTTCCTAGAGAGGTTTTATGGAGGTGCCTGGAGGCAAAAGGTGTGCCGGTTGCTTACATTAGGGTGATTAAGGACATGTATGATGGAACTAAGACTCGAGTTAGGACAGTGGGAGGCGACTCGGAGCATTTCCCGGTTGTTATGGGGTTACACCAAGGGTCTGCGCTCAGCCATTCCTTTTTGCCCTGGTAATGGATACACTGACACACCATATTCAAGGGGAGGTGCCATGGTGTATTTTATTTGCTGATGATATAGTGCTGATTGATGAGACGAGAGGCGGCATCAGTGAGAGGCTGGAGGTTTAGAGACGTCCCTTAAGTCTAAGGGTTTGAAGTTGAGCAGGACTAAGACGGAGTACCTAGAGTGCAAGTTAAGCGCTGAGCCGACGGAAGCGGGATTGGACGTGAGGCTTGATTCACAAGTCATCCCCGAGAAGGGCAGTTTCAAGTACCTTGGGTCGGTTATTCAGGGGGATGGGGAGATCGACGAGGATGTCACATACCGTATAGGGGTTGGGTGGATGAAGTGGAGGTTAGCGTCTGGAGTCTTGTGTGACAAGAAAGTGCCTCATATTCTCAAAGGTAAATTTTATAGACTGGTGGTTAGACCGGCCATGTTGTATGGGGCTGAGCGCTGGCCAGTTAAGAACTCACATATCCAAAAAATGAAAGTAGCTAAAATGAGGATGTTGAGGTGAATGTGCGGGCACACCAAGATGGATAAGATTAGGAATGAAGTTATTCAGGAGAAGGTGGGTGTCGCCCCCATGGATGACAAGCTGCGGAAAGCAAGGCTCAGATGGTTCGGGCACGTCCATAGGAGAAGCCCAGATGCGCCGGTGAGGAGGTGTGAGTGGCTAGCTTTGGTGGGCACGAGGAGAGGTAGAGGGCGGCCTAAGAAATATTGGGGAGAGGTGATCAGGTAGGACATGGTGAGGCTTCAGATTACCGAGGACATGGCCCTAGACAGGAAGTTGTGGAGATCGAGCATTAAGGTTGTAGGTTAGGAGGTAGTTGGGAATATCTCTACGGCGCCGCAGAGTGAAGCTAGTCTGTTAGGACTTAGTCTTTGACTGTTAGTGGTTAATGTTGAGTTCACACTACTCTTTCATTCCTCTTAGTGATGTGCTGTTATTGTTTTGCTTTTCACTTATTTTCTGGTTCTGGTGATGCTGTTCTTTGTTCTATGGTTTCTATTGATGGTACTGATAGATTGCCTCTTTTTGCCTTCTTTTTGTCTTCTTGAGCTGAGAGTCTTTCGGAAACAGCCTCTCTACCCCAGTGTTCAGAAAAGCGAGCGCTTCGTCGCTTAAAGCGCGAAGCGACTCGACGCGACAGTGTGTCGCTTCCAGCTCCTTAAGGCGACGCGATCTGCAGAAGCGCACGCTTCACTGGAAAAAGCAACAAAGCGAGGAAGCGGCGAAAGCGATAAAGCGATCGTTTTTGTGAAAAAAGCGCAGGGGGCCTTTTTAAAAAAAAACTTTGGGTCTCAGACAAAACAGACCCTAAATTGACAAAAAACCCCAATCCCCTTCTTCGACCCAAAACAGAGGCCTCGACCAGTCGCTCTTCTTCTTCTTCAGTCGACAAAAAAAGCTAGGGTTCCATCTTCTTCTTCTTCAGTTGCTCGACCAGTCGACCTCGAAGACCTTACCCAGGTAATTCTTCTCCTTTCTTCTTCAGTTCTTCTCATTTTTTTCTTTTTTCTTTCTTCTACTTTCTTCTTTAGACCAGTCGACCAGTCGCTCTTCTTCTTCTTCTTCATTTTTCTTCTTCTTCTTTCTTTCTCTGTTTCTACTTTCTACAGTCCAGAACAGAGCNGTTTTTTAAGAATTGCGCTTCACTTTAATAAAGCGTGCGCTTCGCTTTTGAAGCGAAGCGAGCCCTTGTCGCTTTTTTGCGCTTCGCGCTCTCAAAAACACTGCTCTACCCCTCGGGTAGGGATAAGATTTGCTTACACACTACCCTCCCCAGACCCGGCCACTAGTGGGATTTCACTAGGTCGTCGTTGTCGTCTTGAATGAAAAGAGCTTGGACATAGAAGTTAAAAACGTCCAAGTTACAAAGATGGAAGGGCTGCAATTGCACAAAACAAACTCAAGAAAATGACAGTCCATACAACGTCAAAAGTGGAATAAGAGGGCAGATGGAGCAATCTTAACTTTATGTTTGAAATATCATATCTTTCTGCACTGGGCCCTTTTAAGTAACTACAGTTAACTGATAAGAATGTTGCAGCTTCCCAAAAATAAGAGACAATAGGTGGAAGAAAACAAAAAATTCCACTACCCCGAAACAAGATATCAAGAGAAAATTAACTCCCTGAAATTGATACGGAATGAAAATTACTCACCCCAAAAGTGACCAACCCTGGACCTCTTGCATTTGGTCTTAATCCTTCAACGCTATCATTTTCTGTTGGGTCAGACCTAGAAACACACACTGATGTGAGAAAATATGAGTAACTAAAGTCAAAGAAGGAAGCACAAGAGAAGACAGAGACTAACCACAATAAATCCATAAGAACAATTGAGCCAGCATCCATAGTGATAGGACGCTGAATATTTTCTATTTGTTCAACATGATTAATTGACCTTCCAATACCACCATGCATACAGATTATCTTTTTCTCGATTAGTGCTGCCAGAGGAAGCCAGTTGAACAATCTATTAAATCGATGCCATGCCCAAATTCCATCTCGCTCACCCTGTTGCATAAATGGACATCAGTATCTAGCTTGACAGGAAGGACAAGCTTCACCCAGTAAATCATAACATACCATCCGTTCGATGCACTCAATTCGAAAGCCGAAAAGCGCATTAATATCTGAAGCTTCATGGTTCCCACGAATTAGATGTACATTGAGGGGATACTCAACCTAAAGCATCAAGTTATGATCATCAAAATCACAGAGTAACTAAGAAGTTGAAAGCATACAAACATCCAGATATAAGAGTACCTCTAAAGCAAGAAGAATTAGACACAAGAGGTACCTTTAAAGCAAGAAGAAGAGTTATCGTTTCCAAACTGTGCTGGCCCCTGTCAACATAATCTCCTAAGAAGAGGTAGTCAATATACCTGGTATTCACTTACCAAAATTAGTATCAAATTAGAAGAACAAATCTTGACACATCAAACTGATCTAAGTGATAGATCAATCCAAAAAATGGTACAAGTCTGCGGGAGTCAGAATGACATGAGAGACAGCAAATAGACACCAAGAGAATATTGTGACAGCCTCACCTGGACCAAGTAAAGCGTCGCTTAGAATATAAGTTTTGATGTATATAGGCTACATAATCTGCTACATGGGATATTTGGTTATGCAACATAACTTTTACGAAGAGGTTTCTCATCTTTTCCCTTTAATTGAAGACAACAACAGGATTTTACAATCAAATGGTTCCATTGCACAAAATCACAGTATATGGCGGAGAAACACAGCCAAGATGAGAAAGTACAATTATTATTCCTAATTTGAGCAATTGGGGATAATTCGGACCTTGTAACAATATGAATTAAAACAGATTTTCAGATGGGTCGGATAATGGATTTGGGCAAATGAACCGGGTGTTTTAAAATGTGTATTGGCCCTCCACTTGTTGATTTTAATGATTGGTCCGGGTCCCTTAACGGCTGATTGGTATTTGTGTTCAAATGTGTAACGGTAGGGCTATACACAGTCGAATATTCAAATGGAGGGTAGACATGAAAAACTCTCAAAAGCAGAGGGGTAAATATGACCGTTTTCCATAAAATCAATATCAGAATTCTGATAGCCGTATCGAGACACCAGACAGTTACAACAACAAGCAAACTGCGACTCCCGCAATTTTCAATCAAAATATCCTTTCAAAACAAAAAGAGGGTAAATCGAAAATATACTGCAATCCAAGGAATTTATGCTGTCAAAAGGCTTGGACAGAAAATAAAACAGGTAAAAGCAAGATTGAGTCAAGGCACTTACGATATATCCCCAGCAGTCGATGGGGAACCATACTCATCGAAAAGACGCATAAGATCCCCAAATTGGCCATGCAAGTCACCAAATATCTTAATAGGAGCCCTAAGCTGTAAAACACTAGGTTCACTAGCAAATATCCTTTCGGCACTGTCACAAAGATCAGCCATCTCATTGCAGTCCAAGAAAAATTGCCGCCGAACAGGCGGCTTCCAGCCACGAGGCTTCAAAAGATGGGCAATCACCTGAAACAGTAAGGAAAAGAAATGATATAACTAACAAAATGCAGTTATTTGTCTTCATACGAAAATAACTGCTTAAGTTATAAAGATGATGGCAGTTACATTTAGCACAGAACAGGTAAGTCTCTGCTTGAGATTCAGAATGGACTGGTTACCCTGATTGCATCAATGCAGTCCAATATACTGGATCTGAACAACGCAGCAACTTATGTAGAAAAAGTTATGCACTAACTGCAAGCAGTTTACCCTTTTTACTTGCATGAATAACACATCAGCCGAATAATGGTAAGCCACACTGTGGCATGTAATCAGGCTATGCGNACTGCAAGCAGTTTACCCTTTTTACTTGCATGAATAACACATCAGACAAATAATGGTAAGCCACATTGTGATATGTAATCAGGCTATGCATCTAGAGACAAATCATTTACCTTTTTGGGAACACTGTTGATGGACATTTGACGATCCAATAGTTTTCTTGCTGCTGTTGCATTTTCTGGGGTTCCATAACTGACTCGCCTGCCTTCATTTTCGAACTGATCAATCGAAAGCTGTCGTACCATGCCACCAAGAGCTCCACCAGTCTCTGCAGCTACAACCACCTTCAATGCATTAAGGCACATCATTAGTCAACCTTATGAGCACCAAAACTAACATAGCATTAAGGATTTGAACACTGACAGCACGGTGATGTAGCCGGACTCCAGCTGGGACAGAATCGGGCTTGATCAAAGAAGGCGTCTGTTTTCCACTTGGCGTTGCCTCTGCTCCACGATCCCTGTCTGGAAGTTCAACTTCTCCATTACCTTGTTGTCGAGCTTTTGCAGCTGCTAGGGTGGCAGTAATAGCCTCAGCTTCTGCGGCAGAAGCCTCCACTAGATATTCAACACCTTTGATGAGTCTCCTGCAAAACAAACCACAAGATAGATCTTTAGAAACATTCATACAATTAGCATAAAACAGATAGCAGATGCTGTTGTTCCTATGCAACTGCAAACTCACCGAGATCCTTGAAGCGTCGCATTTTCAGTGCTTATATCAGAATATGTATCACCATTTATAGGGGGTGCAACAGGAGTTCCCAGTACAACTGAGCCATCATTAACTACCTCAGGGTCTGTTTGCCTTGTTCTTTCATCACCAAACCCATACCTTCCTGCTATCCTCCCAGCAGCTGCAGCAGCTACATGTGAAGCTGCACTAGTTGTTTCAGCAGCGGCCAAGTCTTCGGCAACAAGCAAGTCATCTAGCAATACCCCTGAGACAAAACACAGCAGGACTAAACTTGTTGCAGGAACCAGGAAGTGATCTGAATAACTTCTCCCAAGGCATTTTCATTACACTTCTTTTTTCTTACAGTTGGAAACGTGCAACAGATATATTTGAGGCTAAGTATGATTTTCACATCTGACAGAGTAACATGGTGACTCAAACCCACAACGGTAAATGTTGGAAGTGGAGGGTGCTTTCCACTTGAGCAGCCTCTCTTCTTTTATGACCGAAAAATCCATTTTGAGCCAACCCTCTAGGCTAACTGCAGCCTTCAAGACTCGGGGATGATGGGCATGCCCCTCTAACCTTCTCCACTTAAATACCAGAGTTAGTTTGCTTGGCGCAAGGCTCGAACCTATGACCTAAGACACAAGTCCTTCAACCTTTGCCAATCGAGCTACCCTCTCCACTTAAATACCAGAGTTAGTTCGCTTGGCGCAAGGCTCGAACCTATGACCTAAGACACAAGTCCCTCAACCTTTGCCAATCGAGCTACCCTCTCTTGTCTGGCCTCAGTGCAGTTACTAAATTTTTTTGAACGGAGAAAGTTGTTCATCTACGTGCAAACAGGACTTATCAGTATGAGTTTGCACCACATCATTACAGCTAAAGTGGACCAGTGCTAAAACTCTTGAATGAAATCCTTTTACACCCGACAGGAAATATGCCCTCTATTAATTCAGCACTTGATCTTAGCCAAAAGGCCAAGAAAGGTATAATAATAATAATACAGTACTTGAAAAGTGACAATGTGAGTTTATTTTTCAGTGATATCTAATTACTGAGTCAGATAATTTGTTATGCACCAGTGGCAGGATTAGCGTTAGACCGATGAAAGACAAAGGAACCAGCATGAGTGTGCGTCATGAAAACCTTTATTCTAACAGGCTATATGCACACTAAAGAACGGGATTTAGCTATGAATGCCTAAACCATAGCACATCCTGAACCAGCCCTGGAGCCGAAGAAAGAAGATACTTTTAGTTAGTTTACAATTTCTTTTTTCACAGTTCTGGCCAGCTAGTTACTTTACTATTCCAAGAAAAAGTAAGAATGATTGTCATTTGAAATCAAACTTGAAAGCAAATATAAGAGCATTGATTGATGTCTATCTTATAGTCTTACCACCACGCAGACCACCATAAATAAATATCAAGTCACCAACAGCAGCAGCCGCATGTCTACAACGTCTGGTCAATTCAACTGCAGCATCTCCCCCAGCTGCATCTGCACTGTATCTGCCAGTTCTAGGACTAGTGACAACAGACTTCGTGTCACACCACACTCCTGCGGCAGTATCAAGAACTGCCAAAAGGGGGTAAAGAACCATGATAGTGAGGGATGAACATAACAGTGCAAAAAGTGTTATCTCCACTATGTATCGACCAAAAGCAAAAAGTACCTGCTATACTAGATGAATCCTCCACCATGCGTCCACCACCAAGTGCCCCTCCAGATACATGGAGCCGAGCATTAACAAAAACCTATAATATCAGAACGTAATTGATAAATACCGTATCCATGTGAAAGTATGCAGTTAATAAAAGGAATGAAACAAACACGTACAGCAGCATGTTGATATCTAGAGGACGGTGACACACCAGGAGCAATGGCCCATTCCCAGCGCCCATCTCTATGCTTGGCAAGTCCATATGCGCTGGCCAGTGGCTGTGGATGAACAAAGCAGTGGGAAAAGTAAGTACAAGTACAATCAACCAATGAGCGCAAGAGCATACGAGGAAGTAACAATTTAAAAGCTCAGGGCCCCATCCAATTAACAATTATACCAAAAGAAGATGAAAGAGCAAACAAAAAACAGAACTCTTGAGTTCATCACTTATGTTACATGGATCTTCAAATCTGTTTTGACGAACCCATGTCAAACAGGTGTAGTAGAGGTGTGGATACTTTTGGCTCTAAAGAATACACTAAGAATACCAAAAACCAATACTGCATCATTGCACTATAATCCCCATAACCTTTTAAATATCCAACTAAACCGATTAAATGGTGGAAGTTGAAAACACAGTTTTCTGAAGTACCATCAAACCATGCTGCATATACTTCCTTAACCTCAAGCCCCAGACATCCATTATTCATTAATCTCAAATCACTAATCCGCTCCACCACTCAAATTGCTATTGCTATGTTTAAGTGGATGAAACTCAACACAGCATCATCGTTCCCTGACAGTTTCTTGGGCATAGAAATCCGGAAAAGATAGTTGCTAAGTCTGTTATTTTTAAGTGAGTTAGCAAAAGAGTACAAAAACAATAGTTGGAAGCATCTAAAAGATGCTATGTTAACAAGATATCACATCAAATTACAATGCTCAACACAAACTTCAGAAAATACAAATCATAGAAATCTCTCTTTTCACTCTTATGTCCTTAATTTATAGCAAAAAAAAGGCTTTGCAATATTAAGCTTAAGTTAGAGGAAATGTCTTTAGAAATGTAGTTTGAGGCGGCAAACGTCATAACCTACTGAAAAACAAATAAAACAAAAGGTCAAAATGATACGAGATTTCGATCATAAGTTAGTTGGCAAAGCATCTAGGGACTAAGGTAGGACTTTACGCTCCTCTAGTTACTAGCAAACCTCCCCTTATTTTATGGACCACATAACCCTATTTTTGGTCCTCTCTCCCCTTCCTTAACTAGCTTCGCACTCATATGCCTTTTATAAACCAGAAAGAGACAACAAAAGTACGTACAACCAATAAAACAGAATGCTCTAGATGAAAATCAGCTTTCTCTTCAATAAACAAATCCACCAATGGATATTTCTAAAGAATGAGAAGAAGTCACATCTTTTCCACAATATTAAAGGTTATAACAAAATCAAACATTTAGTTGAGCAGGCATTCTGGGAAACAAAGTTTTGTAATCTGACAATTTCTTTTTACTATGTCCTTAAGATTTTACTGCACATACAGCCAATTGTGAATAGATCAAATCTTCTTCTTCTCCTTTCACAAGGTTCTTGGGTGGGGATCATTTTTTTGGCGATGAACTTTTCCCCAAATGTAAGGCTAGGTTCTACCACGCATAAGTCAAAGCGGCAAAGTAGAGGGGCTGCAGACTAATAGGGTATCACCAAGCAGAAGGTTGCAGGGATCATGGAATAAGGATTGTGTTAGGTACAAGAGAAGGGAAGGGTGAGGGGAAGACTGGCACTGGGAAAACGGTTTCTCAGCAGAGGTTGGGCAGATGGGTAGATCAGGGAGAGCAAGGTGGCAACACAATGGAGTACAACCAAGGTAGGGATCAAGAAGGCTAGAGATTAAAGAGATCTGCAGAGTGCAATCATGAGACGTGAGGCAAAGCTAGAAAGGTGAGAGGACATGACGAAAAAAGTGAGGTAATAAGAAACGCACCATTCTCCATAGAAATAATAAAGGAGTATATTTAACAAAAAAGGGAAAGATAAAGAGCTCCACCCAAGTTTATCCATTAAAGCGATTAACCACTAAGTAGGTACATGAAATGGGAAAAGTGAAGCACCTCCAAACAGATGGGCTAATCAATTTGGGGCAGAGAAACAGAGGATGTTCACATAAAATGGATACAGGCATAATTAGGTAAACAAAGGTGTCCTTGTCTAAGCATTTTTTTCAAATTCGACACTCAATGTAACAAACCATTAGAAAAGAAGTTTGCATGCACTTGGCCGATGAGGTAGTTTATCTCACATATGAATGAGGCTGCAGAAAAGACAAGTAAATGAATAAAAGACTCCCTCCTCTAGCAGTAAAACTTTATAGAAGAGGTGATTCACATAATAAAATACGAGAATGACTCTATGTGAGGAAATGGAAATAGAAGAGGAGTCAGAGAAGGAGAGAGAAGGAGATAGGGCGAGACAAAGAAAGCATCATCTGTTCTAGAAAGAGAACAATCTTCCTAGCGATATATCCTTCAAACTTTTAAGTGCAAGTAAAAATGCTAATGATAAAAACCGAGGGAACAAGTAAATCAGTATAAACTCCATCATTTTTTTCTTATTGCATCAGAAAGCATGCTTCGCTCACCACACTATTGGCATCCCTTCCTCCACAAAGCAGAAGAAGACCATCAGATCGCGCACTTGCAGTTGCGTACCTAGCCAAGTAACAAGACCAGATTAGGATTTCATTACTTTACTGCACACTTGGACCAGCTTAGATTCACAAGAATTTATCTTCAGTTGGACATCACCAGAGGAAACTAATGAGAATACACAAAGAAACTTCAGAAATTAATGAAGATGGAAATGTGTAAAATGCACTCCGACAGCTTCAGTTCAACAAACAGCACAGTCTAACAAGACTTTGCTCAACAAAATGCAGAAGTTTTGAAAAAATAAAGAGACCAACATATGCTCAAACTGTAACAACTGTTCGTCAAATAACCATCTTCAGATAAGAAAAGAATGTACGTTCCACTGCTTGAGTCTTTGTATGTCATGTTTATGTTTCAAAATTGGTGTCCGGGCCATCGAGCATGCAGCTAAACTAATCAACCAGACAACCTGCAATATAAGCACACGTAACGAAGACCTGCCAATAATGACTACAGCAGCTGGGCTCTCAGTAAGTGTAGTAGCGAATTTTGAACCTGAAATGACCATATTGTTATCCTAATTCCTATGCCTCAACCAAATTCCCTAGAAGACAAGCCAAGGTATATCTTCTTTGTTTCATTGAATTCTTTATTTTCTTATAGGTCAGCGAAAAACTTATAAGAAACATCACCAGAAGGATTAACTTGTTTTCTTGACATCGAGAACTCGTACCTGTACTTCACTATTAAAACCTCAGAAAAGGAGCTCCCCTCATAATGTATGAAAACAGAAAAGTAGGTGCAAGAAAATATGCTATTCTAGAGAGATGGCAACTCCACCAGTAGCAACTGAAACTGACTTGAAACCAAGAACATGCCAGCGAGGTGCATAATGGAGCCACTCAACCATCAAATAGTAGCAATAGTTTGTGGAATTTCAAGTTTTAGTTTCCTAAAATCATACCAGGGCAACATTTCCATCATATCTACCTCTTCAAAAATAAGGACTTATCCACGGCAATGTTGATACCAATAATTCAGTAAATTTCTCTTTTTTGAAGTCAATGTCGTATGTATATCTTTACTGAAATAGTCTATACAGTATGGTTTTCTGAACAAGGCTTAAGCACAATAACAACCACCTCCACTTCCGAAAACATCATATTTTTTTGGTGTGATTTATGAAGTCAACAATTTATTGATTTTTCCTGCACAACAACAACAACAACAACAAACCTAATATAATCTCACAAGTGGGGGTTGGGGAGGGTAGTGAGTACGCAGATCTTATCCCTACCAGGTGAAGGTAGAGAGGCTGTTTCCGATAGATCCTCGGCTCAAGAAAAGGTGAAAAAGGAAGAGAAAGGAAGAAGAAGAAAAAAAAAAGAAGAGAAGGAAGAAGTAGTATATAAGATAACTGAAGCGCGCGAGATCACAGGACGTAATAGGGATCTAAGAATATGAAAATACAAGAGTACTACTAATACAGTAATACTACCGGTAAAGATAGAGGAAACTCTCGATTACCTACTAACTTTCTACCCTAATTCTCAACCTCCACATCCTCATATCAAGGGTCATGTCCTCAGTAAGCTGAATCAAGGCCATGTCCTGCATAATCACCTCTCCCAGTACTTCTGAGGCCTACATCTACCTCTTTTCAGACCTGCCATGATCAACCTCTCACACCTCCTAGCAGGAGCATCTGTACTTCTCCTCGTCACGTGCCCGAACCATCACAGCCTTGACTCCCGCATCTTGTCCTCCACAGGGGCCACTCCAAGTTTATCCCAAATAACTTCATTTCTAAACATATCTCTCCTGGTATGCCCACACATCCATCTTAGCATCCTCATTTCTGCTACTTTCATCTTTTGAACATATAGGAGTTCTTAATTGGTCAACACTCAGCCCCACACAGTATAGTTGGTCTAACTACCACTCCGTAGAACTTACCCTTAAGTCTTGGTAGCACATTCTTATCACATAAAATACCGGATGCGAACCTCTATTTCATCCACCCGCTCCAATACGATGCGTGACATCCTTGTCAATCTCTTTGTTGCCTTGGATTATAGATTTGAGATACTTCAAACTACCTCTTTTGGGATGACTTGAGTATCAAGCTTCACATCCACGTCCGCTACATGAGTCCCATTACTGAACTTGCACTTCAAGTTTTCTGTTATAGTCCTGCTCAACTTGAAATCTTTAGACTCCAGGGTCTGTCTCCAAACCTCCAGCCTTGTGTTAACCCTGTCTTGCATCTATCAATCAGCACTATGTCATCCGCAAATAAAATGCACTATGGTACCTCCCTTGAATGTGTCAAGTCAACACATCCATCGCCAAGGCAAATAAAAATAGGCTAAGAGACGATCCCTGGTGCAACCCCATAACAACTGAAAAGTGTTCCGAGTCACCTCCCACAGTCCTCACCCGAGTCTTAGCACCATCGTACAAGTCCTTAATCACCCTAGTGTACACTACTAGAACATCGCTATACTCCAAACATCTCCACAAAACCTCCCTCGAGACTTTATCGTACGCATTTTCTAGGTCAATGAACACAATATGCAAGTCTTTCTTACTCTACCTATAATGCTCCACCTATATCCTCACCAGATGGATAGCTTCCGGAGTCGCTCACCCTGGCATGAATTCGAACTGGTTCTCGAAAATAGACACATTCCTCACCTTGACTTCCACCACCCTCTCCCAAACTTTAGTAGTGTGACTCAACAGCTTGATACCCCTATAATTGTTGCAATTTTGGATATTATCCTTGTTCTTGTACAACAAAATCATCATACTTCACCTCCATTCTTCTGGCATCGTTCTTGTCTTAAAAATGACATCAAGCAACTTAGTAAGCCAATCCAAGCATGCCCGCCCGCGTTCTTCTAAAATTCCACCCGGATTTCGTCTGGCCCAGTCGCTCTACCCCTGCTTATCTTATGCATCGCCCCCTCAACCTCTTCAACCTTAATACACCTACAATACCCAAACTCACGCAAACCCCCTCCACATTCAACAGTTCATTAATACTTTGTTGTCCTCGTCTTTGATGCACTTCAATTGGTCCGTCACGAGCATTCCTCTCCCTCACCTTGGCCAACATGTACAGCTTCTTGTCCCCGCCTTTGCACCCAAGTTCCTCATACATAAGTCCAAACCCAGTAGTCTTAGCCACCGTAACCGCTAACTTCGCCTCTTTCTTTGTCTTCTTATAACTCCTGATTCGTCCTTTTCTCCTTGTTTGTGCTCTCCACTAGCTTCACAAAAAAAATTGTGTAAATAACAAATTCTCTGCCAAGAGCATCAATCATCAAAATCACGTGCACTCCAATATGTTAAAAAATGAAAAATAAAAACAAGAAGATTCCACTAAGTTGTGTGATAGTATTTTCAACTCCTTCGAAACGCTCGGTGGTTCTCTTCTTACCATATTGTCCACATGAGTGATCTCCTTATCCGACTCGTCCATTTGAACTGCCATCCTACCATCATATCTCTAATGGTCTAATATATCAAACATTTCGAGTGTTGGAAGTAAATTTATATTTTGACGTGTCAAATGTTCGAAAGCTTCAAATACAAGGAAGTGAACAAAATGTTGACAGAGGATCAATGATACGGTAAAAAGCATGTGACTTAAAATGTAAAAAAAACTTTTCAACTTTAAAATCTTGATTTGAAGGAACTATTTCTTAAACATATAACTATTTGCTCTACTCTAAAGACAACACTAGAAAAGGAATGTCATTTTCCTCACAAGTCTTTATTAAGTAGTCCACGTGCTTTATTTACAATACGTGTAACACCTCTTGATTCTTTTGAGTGTAGCGAACAAATTCCACGCATAGTTATCTCATGTCAACATTAGTATGTATGGAAAAGAAGTTAGTGTTACACACCAGTAAAGTTAAATTGAAAACTCTTGTTTTATAGCCGAGAAATCCCCGAGGGCTAGTGACACACAATTTGAGATTAGATAGATAATGCCCCCCTAACATTCTCCACTTAAATACTAGGCTTTTGTCTGCGCCAGATCTTGAACCCGTGACATGTGCCTAATCCACACATCACGTGCTGCATTAAAAGCTACATTTAAATCTCATGGAAAATATTTTTGAGTAAATTATCAGTTGGAATAATTAACCAATATAACAACTCAGTCTTAAAATGAAGCTAGTTAAGTCAGCTACATGAATTATCACTATCCGAATTGCTTCGCTTCGACTCGTTCTATTCAATATTTAAAAAAATATGTTATCTAACACTAGAAGGCTCTAAGTTTCAAAAAGTAACAAACTTCTAACATTAATAAAAGACTCCAAAATTTTATTGAACCTAAAGTGAGCTTACCAATATGACTAAGCCTCAATCCCAACAAATTGGTATCACATATATGGATTATTTTCTTTCATTATGACCTATTTTTCTCGAAGTCTGCATAAATTACAATAGATTCTACGTCTTTGAAACAACTTTCTTCAACGTGCATCTAGAAGTCGATGCAGGACATGACCAAACCATCTCAAGTGATCTTCTCTCATATTGAACTTGCAACTATAACAAGCTTAATACTTCTTTTTAAAAGTTAAAAGATCTAAGCAATTTCCCAATATAATGTCCCACACAAAGTAATTCTTTTTTTTTCCGGGAGAATTATAACATTGTATTCATCAGTACAAAATGTACTGGCAACAGCATTTACAAGCTACAGCTCCTTGTGTATTTTACAAGGCTTCAATGAGTTGCTAGTATCTTCAAAACATTTGTTGTTTCTTTTCCTCCAGTATTTGATAAGTATGGTTTATATCAAATACAATATGGAATATCTTTATAACACCAAAAGCATATAAAAAACAAAAGGGAGCTGTTAGCTCTCCTCAAAGGATTTTCTAAACGCTTAAGTATCGTATTTCTTTCCTTTCAAATTAACAAGAAAAGAAAATGCGGAGTGACCTACAGCTCTTTATTTCATGTATCCAGCTTCTTTATCCTCCAACCAGTCGAGGACTTTGCAACTGTTTCAGGTAGCGTTCACATAGTGTTGAAAATGAAAAGGAATAAAGCTAATAACTCTATCCCAAAAGTGCAACAGAAGATGGTTCACTTCCCGCATACTTTATACACAAGCAGCACCAACGAACTACGATGCAATTTCATTTCCTTAAATTATCTGCCAAACTCGGAAACTGGCCAGTTTTTTTAGATGTCAATGATCCATCATAATTCTAATAAGCCAACACATACTTTTATAAGCCAAAGAAATAAAGACACCCCCTCCCTTAAGAAAAAAAAAAAGAATAAGCTGGAGTAGTGGATTTGGAACTCGGGTATACATAACAAAATCATCACGATGTAGGTATCTCAAGAAATGACCATGAGGCGTTTTCTTTTATGAATAGAGTACAAAAGATCAGGTGCATTTTCTTATATGGATAACCCCACAACCAAACCACGGAAAAGGAGCCCAACAATAACTCTTTCCCACTTTGATCCCTTGGTGACTTGAAACTCCAACCTTGTGGTTGGAGGGAGAGTCACCTGTTGGCCATCCCTCCCTTGTCAATTATTCTTCTAAGGAATAAATCATAACCAAACAGTCACTGAAGACTACCACTGTTTACCACATGCTACTTCTTCGATTGATATGTACAAATAAATCTTCAGGTTCTTCACCATGAAATAAAAAACATAAAGTTCAAAAAAGCAAATTGAATACAGTCAAAAGTAACAAGAGAATATGAAAGTCATGTACAATGAGGAACTAAAATACACATCTTCAAGAAAGAGATCATGAAATTTACATGCAAGGAGGTGGACCTTCACCCTCAGGTTCTAATTTGCGCCATTCATATGGCTTGGCAGCTGTGTCCAAAGCCCAAACATCCGCTAGAGGCCGTTTTCCTGAAAATAATGGATCAACTTTTTATTTCTTAAATTTCATATGCTTACAAAATGGGAAGGGCCGTTTCACGGGACTGACCATCATTTCCACCAATAGCCATGAGATATCTTTGCCCTACCAAAGCCATGACATGGCCATAACGTGGCCCTGGACCAGGTCCTTGGACCACAACCCTGAAAAGATCAGAATTATTTCAGTAGTTGATCAGCACTTCCATATTTCACACTTCACCAGATACATCACGTTCATTGCAACTAAGTCATTACTTGAACTGCTAAATGCTAACCTGTGCCATCGTGGGCGTTGTTGTGTAAGGTCCAGAACATGAAGATCCTCAGCGGACAAACCAGCTGGACCAATTCCACCCTGGGATGGATAATATAGAGCATCATAATTAGCTGAAGTAGATGATCATGCACGACTCAGACAAAATACTATAAGTTTAAACCAACCTGAATAACAACCATGGTTCCAACAGCTGTAGCAACATGAGCAGCCCTTGGCGTGGGTGGCTCACCTATAGGAGTCATCCTGTGATCATTAAGAAGCAGAGACATACTTTATCCATTCTCAGTAAACCACAAAATAGAGAGTAGCTTATCAGTGACACCAATAACCACTTACCTAGACCATTTATTTGTCAAAACATCATAGCAGTGTACATCAGCTGTAGCACCTGCTAAACCTGCAATTAAGATCTCTTCTATCAATTGATTATTATACAAAAATTAAATTCTGTTTCTTTTTTTATGCATAAACATTGTATTCAGAGGTTTTCTGAGACCAGTAAAAATCACTTCACTCGTTGCATTTAGTCTACACAACTGGAAAGTATACCATATCCTAATCAAGTCCAAAAATTGCCCAGAAAAAAGGGTACAAGTTGGATAATTAGGAGACTTCAAGGAAACATACGAATTCCAGCACTTCCAGCAGAAGAAGGAGTCCCTGAAGCAGCAGAATTCCCTTCAAGCGCAGTTGCACCACCAAAGAGAATAAGCCTGGGACCACTGTAATTGGGGCTACCCTCCTCTCCAACCGCCGGTACAGCCGTTAAGGTATGCCCACACCTCGGCCCTGGACCATCCTCCTCCTTCTCTAGAACAGCGTGCACCACCGAGTACGTCGGAGCACACCTCGGCCCCACCACCGGAGTACTGCCCTGCTGCTGCTGAGAAGTTGCCGGATGCTGCTGATCCTGAGGAGTCTCCGGCGGAGATCCTCCAGCAGATGACTGGCCGTTTAGCTGCTCCGACGACGCGCCGTTATTCTGATCGTGATCGGATTCCGATGACATCGCTGAATCCACGTCCATATCCCCCACCTCGAAACCCTAGATTCTTAAGCTTATCGGAGCTCCAATTCTCAACCATGCGCATTTCGGATCAACATTTCCAATCCAATTCAAACCCTAAATGTCGAAAATCACAACTTCAAATCCTCTGATTCAAACACATCCAAATTTTACGAGTTTCTAGGTTTTTCTTCTCTCTCTTCTTTTCTAAAGAAGCTTTAAGGCGGTCGACGAATACCAATCCGAACAGTTTCTCTCTCTTAAACTCTCTCTTCTCTGTCCAACCCTCGATCACTCATTCCTCTCTCTCTACAAATATTCAAATGTATGTATAGGCGCACATTTAGATATATCTATCTGTATCTATAGATTCATACGTATTTTTCTGCACATAAAGTATCTCTGTCTCTCTCATCTGTCTAATGGCTATGAAGAAATCTGACTATAGTGGACTTTATTTTTACCTCTTAGGGTACAAGTCCTGAAGCGAGATTTACACTGTGTTTATGAAGATCGTACAAGATATTACAGCATCTCGTACAGCTGCTTTAACGGTGATAACCGGTTCCGATTTCAACGGGAGGGTTTCCCTCGTTGATTGGGTGAAAAAAGAAGGATTTAATGAGACGCGCAGGATCAGCGCGTGTGGAGATGATTGAAAGTAATTCAACCTGACAAATACATATGGGATGAGAGCTGGCTTTGGCTAAAGATAATATTCATGATTGGTTAAGACTTAAGAGTCATTATTAAATTATTGAGTTTCATTTTCTTATTATTATTCTATTTTTTTCTTCCTTTTCATCCTTTATTCTGTTTTTTATTCCTTTAATTCTCATACATGATATATGAAGTATCAAATGCTGGAAATTGTCCAGACAATCTCTAAGCTTATAAGATCAATTTTAATATTTTTGCTAGATATTTGATGAAATAGTCAAAGTATGCATGTATAAATTAAAAAAATATACATAAATACTCTCCTAATTATATACTTTAACTTTGCAATGGTCGTATTACTCTTTAGGAATGTCCAAAATAGAAATATTATCACCCTAAGGGGTCGTTTGGTAGGATGCATTAGATAAAATAATGCTTGCATTAGCTTTGTGTATTAATAATATCTTGTTTGGTAGATATTTTAAACCTATGCATTAGTTATGCAAGCATTAGTTATACATTCTATTTGGTATTATCCTATGCATAACTAATGCATAGAAAACTATGGTATTAGCAATGCAATGGGTTTTAATGCATGCATTAGCTTAGTTAAAGACAAAATTGTCCTTCAAAATTTATGCTTGATTAAAATATACTAGTTATTATATTAATGCAAGTTTAAAATAATTCAAATAGTGAGAAATAAAATTATATCTCTAGTAAATAAATAAATAATTGGCATATTTTCTTTTTTATAAATAAATATTTAGTTCTATTTTACAATATAGGTAGACAAATCAAATAATTTTTTAAATTTTTTTATATAAAAATATTTCTCAACATGTGTTTCTTTTAAAATGTTAAAGTGATGGACTGGTTTTGACGGTATTTTTGTAAACAAGCAATTCTTTTAGAAATTGCGCAATGCTTTAATATATCAAACAAAGGAATGGATAAGAGATATGTCAGCATAACTAATACCAGCATTACTAATACACCATATTCAGCATTATTTTTATGCACCCTACCAAACGACCCCTAAGAGATCAAATCCAAATTTAAGTGCACAACAATCAGGCGCTAGCCTTTCTTTATGTTATTTTTATCCAAAATGCGATTTAATGTTTTCACGCTCTTTAATTAAGTGTATATACTTATTTTGTCATGTTAGCCAATAAAGATATACTAATTCTACTTTAGAATAGTTTCAGAGGTCATAAGATCCCCGATTTTAAGTGTCTGGGTGAAAATGGGGACAAGACAAGTTAGTTATATATTATTCCAATAAAAAAAAAACAAAAACAAAAAAACAATAGTGAGAGGGAGGGATACACCATAGATATGTCAATGTGCAATAAGAGTATTTGACATCGACGTTATCGGGTAAATTTCATGGGTGATTATTCAGCTTTGTGCTCATTACCCAAAAGATATTTTTCTTGCTTTTATTACATAAAGAATATTATTTCTCTAATTAACCTAAAAGTCACTTTTTTTACGTAAAAGTCATTCAACTTTGTGTTCATTATCCAAAAGACATTTTTCTTGCTTTTATTACATAAAAAATATTTTTTCTCTAGTTATCGCAAAAGTCACCTTGGCCTGATTTTACAATACTTTTAATTGAAAAGTCTATTATGTCCTTGACATTATAAATCCTCTCATTTACGTAATATCTTCAATTTTATATACTATATAATACTCCTATATTTTTACCTAGGTATTTTACTTATAATTAAAATAACTTTATATTATTTTAGAATATATATGTTGTCACGTCCCAAACCTGAAGAGGCGTAGCCGGCACCCGATGCCATACTGGGCTCGAGCTTACCACTCTGTAATTGTGAACTTTGGAGGGGTAACTCTCAACTTAGGTCGATGAGGCCATATTCTGAGTCATCTGAAAATAATGTCTCTCTCATCTGAGGGGTAAACATACCAAAAGGTTCATATACATAACTGTGCAGGCCAACGAGATCGCTATGAACGTCTACAACCAGCAATACCAAACTGAACATGTACATAGGGCTGGCAAGGCCACAATACTAACATACAAAATACACAAGACTCGTCTACAAGCCTCTAAAGATAACTAAACTGTATCATGGTAGGAACAGGACCTCAACCTACCCATCAAACATGTATATATAAAATGGACTCCAAGGTCTAGACCTGGTAACTGAGAGGAAGTGGAGCTCACCAACCAGGCTAATGTTTGACTCTTGTCTACTGGAAAGGTCTATCCAGCTGTCTATCAGGACCTGCAGACATGAATTGTAGCGTCCCCAATAAAAGGGTCGTCGGTGCAAAATAATGTAACGAGTGTGTAAGACAACAAAATAACTGCAAGCTGAAACTGAACTGATAATATAATAACTAGAAGTAACTGAAAGTCAAAGATAATCTGAAGATATTCTTACCTGCTGATACTGACTCAACTCTCTCAATATAGTAAGTAAAATAGTTGTCTGGCCCTATAAGGATCGACATGTGTAACTGCTTTTCCGCAGTCGGCTCGCTTATAGGCGCTCGGCTATGGTAGGCTGGGTATATAACTTACCATCTGATTGGAGGTTGCCCAATCGGGGCCTGCCCACCGATTATAGCTCGATGGTGCTGAAAATACTATAAGACTATGTGTGTATGTGTGTGTACACCCTATGCTCTTTTGACTGGAAGAAGACAATACTTAACTGAATATAAAGTCCTGATAAGGGAGAATATGATAACTTATGAGACTAGGATAATGTACATAAATTCAGGAATATGAACTTCTCTTTATGTCTCGTTATCAAACACATGCAGTTACGAGATCATGCCAAAATGAAGGAAAGGTTTAGTCTTAACATACCTTAATCCCGTTGAGTCCTTAATAGCTTCCAAGCAACTTTTCAAATAACTCAACTCAATCTACCATAGCATCAGGAGATCCAAAATTAGTGTCGAGTAAAGACTAAGTCCGTAACTTAAGCTAGTAGCTCGTTTATGTAAATTCGGTAGCATATCCCATATAACAAGGGCCTCCTCCAATACCATATAACAAAAACAACAACCAAAAAATCCGGCAACATATAAGTATCAATAATAAGATACCATATAATAACAACAAGTCACAACTACTTCACGCCGAGCGTCAAGCTCCGATTGGAACCCGTGTACTCCAAATCACCCATTATAGACTTCTCACTTTAACTTAATAGTATCATTAACATGATAATGAAGTCATTCATCAATAATTTCGGTCTTATACCATATATTCATAACAAAGAAAACAATCCACAACTCCAAGTATCATCAATTAGCAACTTTATTCACTAGTTCATGTCTAGTCCATCCATTTAATTTAATAAACATCAAGATAACATTAAGCATATGCAAGAATACAATACTTACCTCATACAGTAGCTTCAAGTAGAAATCCAAGTTATATTTATCTTATAAATACCATCGAAGCGACTTAAGCTAATCATCACTTCCAATCTCAAGTTTCATATGTTTCTTTCATCACATCACTTGATAAACATATGGACATGCATAACAACAGAAACCATATCATAATCAAGTTATTTCCTCCAATTTTCAGCCATAACTACATATATATATATATATATATATATATATATATAGCCTTAAAACAACCCAATAAAAGATAACAACATCTCTTCCTCTTTCAAGTGCTATCTTGTAATCTTTCACTCTAGCACCACAACCAACATGTAATTAACCTTAAAAACTATCAAAAGAATGTTAAATATACCATATGAAGTAGATAATATTCAAACCCTAAGCTTAACTTATCTCACCATTATCCTTATTCACATCACAACATCACAGAGGGGTTATTCTTCACCTTTGGCTAACTTTGATGTTGGATTATGGTGTATTTTTTTGAAATTTGTTTGGAGCCTCGACAGAACTGGTTGGGAGGGTTTGGAGAGTGTAAGGATGTAAGGAGGTCCAAAATGAGCAAAGCTCATCCCAAAAATGAGATAAAAACAAGTGAAGGTCAGCCACCGACCAAGTGGAACCCATAGGGGCTTCCTGCGCAATCTCGCAAAAACGTGAATCTCTTTATTCCGATGTCGTATCAATAAACGGTTTAATGAGTTATAACTAGACTCATAGATCTTCAATTTGATATGTGGATAATCCAATAATTCAAATATAATGGGGTTAAAGCTCAGCTATGTTTGACCTAATTTTCAGCACATTTATAAATGTAACTTGTGATGACCTTTGCCTTATTTTGTTCTATAACTCGCTTGACTTCAAAACATAACACATGATTATCATACGAATAACATAAATCATAGCATAACATCCTTATAATATTAAGCACCACAGTCTCACCCTAAAAGTATATGTTATATTATTCCCAAGTTGCCGACTTTCTACGAAACTTATTTTCTTCAATTCGTTTAGCTTCTAAGCCTTTCAACCCTCTTGGTACTTGTTATTCATGATCTTAAATATTTTTAACCTCCATGGTAACATGATTAACTTACTTTATGTACTTTCAAAGATGATCTCATTTCTAAGCTTACATTAATTGACTTACGATGTACTCTCACGTACAAAAACATTCCCCCCCTTTAGAACATTTGTCCTCGAATGTTGACTGATGCACTTATCAGTCCCATAATTTATAGCTTTTATGAATACCTTAATATTGTCCTTGCCCTCTAGGAAACTGTTCTATGAATAAGTCCAAAGGCCTGGGCATTCCCCCTTTAGGTCTCTTTCTCACACCACGACATGTGGTCGGAATTATTCCAATCTCGTAATTGTTGATACCTTCTCTCATGCAGTCTGTATGACTTTGTACTTGTACGGATGCCTATACAACTCTTCTCTCTT